AGCCAGATGCTTATGGCTGGGCCAGAGGTGACGGATTTGGGGCAGAGCGGGCTAATGAGTAACTCGGGGAGAAGTGGCTGTCAGGTACAGGTGCAGAGTATCCTCCCTCTCCTTTGGGGCAGGAAAGGCAGAGGCAGACAGATGAAACTGACTTAACTCGTGGCCTGGGCTCTTCCCAGAGTACATTTGGTGAGGAGTGGCCTGGGTACATGCCAGAGGAGGGAAAAACAGGGGCAGGCAGTGAGAAGGACGGCTCTCTACTCCATGTTGCTTGGCACTAGCTGGCTGTTTACCTGCCCCTGGGGTTTCCTAAGACCTGGCGCTGCCTGGCTGCCCCGGCCACGCCCTGCTGTCCTCTGTAACTGAAGGCAGATAGGTTTCGGGTTTTCCACGTTGAATCATTTAGAGCCCTGCTTTTTGACCCATCCCAAAGATCACTTCAGCCCTGCTGGCCCCTGACCCACCTGTCCTGGGTCTAACAGTGGTTGAGGTTAAAGAGTCACCGGGACCAGGGGCATGTTCAGTGCTCTCGTGTGGGTGAGGGGCTGTGCACACTGCTGGGAGTCCGGAGCTCCTTGATCTGGAAGATCCGTAGATGTCCTGACAGAGCAGAGCAGCGTTATGAATAAATCATGTGACTTCTGAGAGCCCGCAGTCTAGGCACATCTGGTTCCAAAATTACAGTTGAACGGGGGGAGGAGGTCCGGGCCAGGGACAGCTCTCCAACGAGAAACGGCAGTGAGGGATCATTGGGCAGATCTCCCTACTGCTGGGAGAGTCTGCTTTGGTTCAGGATCCGACCTTTAACAAATATTTATTGACATGTATTATGTCGCCTGGCCCTGGGGCTGCTGGAGTCAGCTGAGAGCCCTGATCTTTGTCCTCCAGGAGTTTATAATCCAGCGGAGGAGACAGACAGGAAACAGATCATCACCCTAATAAATCTATAAAAATAAACTGAGGCAGGGGCACCTGGCTGGCTCAGTCAGGAGAGCATGCAAACTTGGTCTTGGGTGGTAAGTTCGAGCCCCACTTTGAGTGTAGAGATTACTTAAAAATAAAATATTTTTAAAATTAATTTTTTTTTATTTTAGAGAGAGAGGAGCAGATAGAGAGGGAAAGAGAATCACTATCATTTTTTTTAATGCTCAGCTGACTGAGCCACCCAGGTGCCCCCAAAATAAATCTTAAAACAAACAAACAAAAAAACAACAACTGATGGGCACCTGGGTGGCTCTGTTAGTTAAGCATCTGATTCTTGATTTCGGCTCAGATCGTGGTCCCACAGTTCATGAGATGGAGCTCTGCATCAGGCTCTGCCCTGTCATTGAGCCTGCTTGGGATTCTCTTTCCCCCTTTCTCTGCTCCTTCCCTGCTTATGCTCTCATTCATGTTCTCTCTCTCTCCCCAAAATAAATAATAAAATTAAAAAAAAAAACTGAGACAAATTCATTGAAGGACAACTATAGAGCATATAACGTGGTTCTGACCTAGTTTGTGGGAGGGTCGCTTGGGAAAGGCTTTGAGGAAGTGACATTCTTCTGTGAAGCAGGTGAAGCCAGGAAGGTCCTGTTGGAAGGAACAGCATGTACTCAGGGTAACATTTGTTATCAGCTTTGTGACAGGCATACACTGCTAGGGATGTCTCGTGTTTCTTTTTGCATTTTCTTTTTTTAAAATGTTTATTCATTTTTCAAGAGACAGAGAGAGAGACATGGGGGAGGGTCAGAGAGAGAGAGGGAGACAGAATCTGAAGCAGGCTCCAGACTCTGAGCTGTCAGCACAGAGCCCGACGTGGGGCTCGAATCCATGGGCTGTGAGATCCCATGACCTGAGCCAAAGTCAGACGCTTAACTGACTGAGCCACCCAGGCGCCCCTCATGTTTCATATCTTGTCATTCTCCCTCTTTTTATTAAAGTGGAATGTAAGTAAATAAAATGCAAAAATCTGAAGTGTAGAACCTGATAAATTTTTTTCCCCATTCATTTATTTGAGAGGGGGAGAGCACAAGGAAGGGCAGAGAGAGAAAGGGAGAGAGAGAGAATGCCAAGCAGCTCCCACTGAGCACAGAGCCCGATGTGGGGCTCAAACCAATGAACCCAGAGATTGTGATCCGAGCTGAAATCAAGAGCTAGGCACTTAACCGACTGAACCACCCAGGGGCCCCAAACTTGATAAACTTTGTGTACATGTAATTATTGTTTAATTCTCACAGATACTACCTTATGAAGCATTATTATTATACCTGTTTTACAGATGAGGAAACTGAGGCTCAGAAAAATTGTGATTTGCTCAAGGTTATATACATCAAATGAAGAGTGGGGCTGGATTCCTTTCCTACTAGATAAGCCCTTTGGAGAACTGGCCCATTTGCCTCATAGCTTCTTTTCTGGTCCATCTTTTACTCGAATTCTAACAAAGGATCCTGCCAACTAAATGTCCTTCTGTTTGGAGTATCTGAGGTTGTTTCAAGTCCTCTCCTGGTGCCTGAGTGGGGTCCTTTAGTTCAGGGTAGCTTTGAGGTGTTCATGAAACTCTTGAGGTTCTATGGACTGTTTCCTGGGGCGGCGGGGGGGAGGGAGGGGGAGGTGCATTACTTTCATGGACCCCTCCAATGGCGTATCAAAACTAAGAAGGGGAAGAACCATTGCCAATAAGGGCTCCTCCCTCCCAGTTCCTTCCTTTCTCTGGAGGGGAAGGGCTGGGAATGCTAGGAATGTTCTTCCCACCAAGCCCTTTCTCACCTGGAGCGAGGCCACTCCCTTCCCCCTCACCCCCAGTTTCCTGGGCTTCCTAGCATACCTACAGTCCCTGAAGGGAGCCCTGCCAACTTTCCTTGGCCCAAGGCCCCCCCCCGCCCCCCCCCCCCGGGGG